ATATCTATGCATTCCTCAGAGCCAAGAGTCTGCTCAGAGTCAATAATTCCCCCCACAAGTCTACCAGAGGCTAATGCTGAAGTGGTATGGATGGAGTTTGCATTGCTGGGCCCCTTTTCACACTACAGGCTTTAGCTCCTTACCCTTGCATCCAGGATAACATACAGTGTGAAGTGAGTTAAGATTTTTACAGTTGATTCCTACCTTAAACATCTGCTTTTCACGAGTTCATATATAAGTTCAGTATTCTGCACTAAGTACTGTCTATAAGACCCATATTGTTCTTGCCATTAAAAGCACAACACTTATTGGTTCTCTTTACTTGAAGCAGTAGCACCTTATGGTTCTCTGTCCCATGGGCAGCCAAAGAAAACATTTTCCTGGGCTTGATGTGCCCTGTTCCTGCCCCGTGTGTCACTGACTGTGTGTACGTAACTGGACCCCTTAGAAAGGAAGCAGAACACAAAAGAGCACTTCTTCCTTGCTCTTTCAAAGTGTATTGGGTTGTATTATTCTTATGAACACATTGATTTAAACCACCACTCTAGGGCACTTGGGCAAAACAATATGTGGAGCCTGGTCCTCCACATGTCCTCTTGGAAGTTTGGCCTGATTAAGGCTGACAGAGTTAGCTCTGTTGTAACCTGTGCAAAGTAGTTACAAGCACATTTGTGTATAACCTTGTGGATATCATACTGATATGCAGAATAAGAAGGCACAACTACTACTGTGGCCAGATGGTCTTGTTGGTGACTCCTTCTGACTTCAGCACACCACGGATTGCTTGCTAGATCAACCTATGTGATCTAACCTGCCAGCCAGCCAGTTTCTTTGCCTGAGGAGGGAGCAATGGAGACTGGGCCTTGAAGGGACTCCGGCAGCTTGCCTTGACTCCAGAAGATGTGTACATCTAAAGTATAGGGTGCCTAGAGCTGGGCCGTCTGGCTGTATGTATGAAACTGGATCATACAAGGAAACACAATAAGGAATATACCTTGGGTCAATTATAAGCTCTTTAAGAGGTGGAGGCCGTCTTGTGGGTGATTCCCATCCATCATCAGGGAAGCAGGACTAAGTTCAACTTCTTCCTGTTTCCTGTGGTGGGAGTCACCATAGGCTCAGTTCTTTTCCTGCCTCAGTAGGGAGAGCAGTTAGGTGTAGGCTCTGCCTAACACCAATTTTCCTTCTACTATTCTAACCCTATTTTTCATTTCCAACTTACCCCTCTTCTCTCTCTCGTTCTTTAAAAAAAAAAAAAAAGATTTTCCTCTCATCTCTCCCCTTTGTGGGAGCTGGGCTGTTAGTTCAGCGGCCTCCTTAACTAGGACAGCTACCTCTCAACTCGTCACCGTGGCTTCCAGAGAAGAGAGCGACGTGGGTGGGCCTCCTGAAGACAGTCGGGATCACGTGGCATGAAAGAGGGCCACGGCAGCGGCAGAGTCGCCCAGTGATGAGCAGGGCGAAGGCAGCGCTTCAAAGTGTGCCAAAGCATCACTCTCCCATGCTTACACGGAGCCCACACCGATGGCAGCGGCCATCTTGGACCAAACTTGCCACGCTACAAGTAAAGATGGGGACAGCCTTCAGTGCCTAAACCCACATTTTGAGTGCCCCGGGACCTCTGGTCAGAGCAGGGCGGATCAGATTCGGCAAATACAAGCCGGTTTTGCCCAATGAGACAATGACGGGGACAGGCAGCGGAGTGGTAACGTAAATGACAACACCCCTCCCATATCCCCAAGCGTGATGGCCTTCAGAAAGGCAATGAGCGAGGAAATAGCACAATTTTGCAGGTCGGGGGGTCGTAGCTCACATCGCTCCAGATCTTCCTCCTCTTCCTCCCCCTA